ATTTATTCGGTTCACTTCGAAGTTGAAAATTTCATTCCTAACTGTTACTTGTCCAGTTCGAATGCGTACTTTGTGTTCAACATTTGAAATTCATTCATGTGTCTATGTTCAAAAGTCGGTGATTGTTCCATTCAGTATTAATAATTAACGGATAAATCAATATTACTCTTTTTTATCCACTTTCATTTTGGTTTTAAAAAAAAACAGGCACAACGAAAAACCAATTGGATGGACAGAACTGAAGAAGTTTAAATCACAAACGAAACGAAGCACAAGCACATTAAACATTCTTCTTCTTATTCCTTCTATTTTCTACATGGCTCAACATTAAAACGAGCATCCAACTGATTGGCAAAGCGTTTGCGTGGGTTCCATCTGAACAGTGTGTGTGTATGTGTGTGTGGTGTACAATAGAGAGAAGGACAGAGACAGAGTCGAACAATCACTACAAATAAAACAAGACCGCAGATCGTCGCTGCGCTCCTCTCTGCGTTCTTTTTGTGTTGTTTAAAATGGTTTTTTTTAAGTTAATTTGATTTTTCCATCAAATTATTCATTCAAGCACTACATTGAATGTAGTTTCAATCGAAGTATACATTTCTGTATTTTATGAAAATTATTTTAATCAAAATCAATAATGTTCGACCCGGACTGTATTTTTTCTGGAGATTAACTTTTACTTTGATAAAATTTAATATGTATAAGAAACATTAAAAAATTTGTTTATAAATCATATGGATAAATAAATATACTTAATATATATTAATTAAATAAATTATGGTATAATTAATTATTTTATTTTGGTTTTGGGAACGATAATGTGAACATGAATTACATGAACATGACATTATTATATTTTTGTAATTAGACGTAATTGCTTTATTTCAAATTAGAACTTTGGATAGAAAGAAGAGTTCATTTTCGGTCCAAAAATAAGGCCTAAAGAGTCTTAAAAATTTCTTGGGAAAAAAAAACAAATGCAATAGCCTATATTCCATGTATTCTACATTCTATGTAGTGCTAAAAATTGCTGTATATGCATCACATTACAATGTCTTATCGATACTGCCATTTCGGTTGGAAAACACAAATACGAACAAACGTTTCATTTCTAACGGTTTTTTCTCGAGTTGTCGCCATTTCCACACCAATCAAACTTATTTATGGATGAAACAGAGCTGAACATTCTGCTGAAGAAAAAAAAGAAGAAACGGCTTTGGTTTAAACCAATTGGTGCCGTTTGATGCTGGTTCGTTCAACTGAACGAACAAAATACACGCGATATACACGAAATATCATGCAGATCTTCTGCTATGCTTGGTTGTTTGTTGCCATTCAGTGAAGAAGCCTTTCGACGGGTGTTGTTAAATAAAACCCACAAAAACGGAATTGTGTAATACGCAAGAGAAAATAAAAGAAAGGCAATTTTATAGTTGGAAAATCAAGTTAAAAACCAACTTTTATTCAACACGTCTGTTCCATTCCAATGATCTCTTAGGACTAACTTGTATTGAGCAAATTGGCTGATATGCAGAAGGCAACTGTCAGCCGTACTCAAACTTATTTCTTCGCATGGCAGCGCCATTCGATACAGGAATCGAGCACTGGATAGAAGGAAAATGACTGAAGGCGTTCACAATAGTTTGCAGTGCCGCTGTTGAGCGAACCAAAATTTCGATGGTCTCTTTTGCGTCTCTCACTTCGTTTTTTCTTTCTCCTTTTTCTCTCGTTTCGACTCCAGATCTAAGTGTCTCTGTAACTGTTCTTATCTGTGTCTTTGAACTGCTTCAATTTCAAATCAAGTTTAATTGATCATTTTTCCCAGATTATCTATTCACTTGCGCACTTTGAGTAAATGAATCGTTTGCTTAAAGCCAACGAAATGGCTTTCAAAAGATATGCTCACGCCAAAGGGCAGAGAGATGTTAATCGATCCAACATTTACTGATGTCTTCGACAAAGTCCCATTTTATTCAATTTCTCTGATTCTAGTGATGAATAGACTATAGCTTTTATCTATAATATCTTAACAAGTTTTTTTTTCTCGATTGATTCGACCGTTTTTATTCAACGAAATACTCTGAATGACAATGAGTGATGTATGGCATTTCGCTTAAATTCTATCTCCTTCTTCTTTTTCTTCTTCTGCAAACAATGAATTGAGCACTTCAAAATCTTCACTTATTATTAATTTCCTTCACTCACCACTCACTCATCTCACCCTGTTTCACACATTTATTTCAATTTTCTTACATAATCCACTTGGTTTCATTTTATTTTCGTTAATCCGTTTACTTTTCAGTAAAATCTTTAGTTCGTTGAAATAAACAATTTATTTTATCTGGCTTCAACGTAAAATGATCAAAATTTCAAGTTGCCTTTTTCTTTCAACATTGTCCTAAAGCTCTTTTTCAGAATATAAAATTGAAATAAAATCAGAAAAAAATGCACAAAAACAGGAAATTATTTCCACAAATCTAATTTAAAAAAAAAATAAAGAAAAATTCTTAATATTGGATCTGAGAACTGAGATAAGATCGAAAGTTGGTATTCTTCGTGTTTCGCAACCGTTCAGCACGAAACTCAATTTGGCACTGAACAAGTTATCAGAGTCGTTAGATGGACTTTTCTCTACCATCCAGGCTGTGCGTTATCGCATGTGTCTCTGCGTTGCAACGCAAGTGATGAAAGTTGCAAAGCTTTGAAAGCTTCAACGTTGCTAGGGATTGAAGCTATGCTAAATACCTACAGAGTTGAAACTTTCTTCGAGTTACAGAAAGAAAGTATTGAGTCAAAGTCGCCAGCTCATTTAAAAGGATAAAAAGTACAACATTGCAATTTTTGGCCATGCTAACAAATTTATTTTATAGATGTACGAACTGAAGTGAAACAAATCAAGGAACTAATGGCGCATATTGGAAGACAAAACATATATACCCAATGGTAATAAATCTAATAACAAGAAAAAGAAATCCATAGAAGAAAAAAACAACGAAAAATTCAATAGTAAATGTGCAGGTTCCGTGACGAATTGGATCCACATAAAAACGGTTGATAAAAAAATCTAAGAAATTGGTTTTGAGTGTAACTAGACGGTAGGATAAGTTCATTCGTGGCTCAACACTATTGTATTTAGCCTGAAAATTGATGGTTCTGGTGAGGGTGTCGTTGGTTTTGAAGGTGTTATTTGTTGTACTCGATTGAGTGCTTTGACGGGATTCGTGTAACCATTAACTTTGCTCACACGCTGTGCTGCGATTTTTGATGGAGCCGAACGAATACGTCTTCTATTTTCCATTGGTGCTACCTAAGATGAATCAAAATAAGTCAAATATTTCTTGACAATAATATCGAGCTACAGTTAATCTACATTCTACATACCTTCTTTGGCAAACTAGTTCTTTCTCTTCTAAATCGTTTAATCGGTGTGGTGAGCAAGCCATTGAATCGTATTCGATTTTTGAGTGATTTGTAATTGTCAACTATAGTGTCAACCATCCATTCCATACCGTTATGTAGGTCAGATCGATCTGGCGCACCAGATGTGATAATCCAACATGGAGTTCTCAGTAAGTTGCATAGTTCATCAATGCGAAAAAATAATGTTATATCAACCACATCGATTGATTGATCTAAATCTTGTTTATTGGCCACGATGAGTAATGGTTTTCCTCGAATGTGTCTGCTGTGCATCAGATTGTGCAAAATGTTACGCGTTTTCTCGAACGGCGCTTGCAACGAACAATCAATCACAAATATAATGCCAAATGCCTACAAAAATAGAGCAAATTTCAAATGAATGGCGTTAATCAATTACACTCACATTGCAATTAGGGTCATTGGACTCAACAGGTTTGCATACATCAT